TCCTGTTAATGTGAGGGACATGTTCTAAAAGTCGAAGAGTCGAAGCCGAAAAAATGAAGAGAGATTACAAACACAGACAAGTGTCTTTGTGTCATTGTGTGTAGCAGTGTGTTTGTAGTAAATTAGAGTTACACCAGTTATCACCCACAATCTGCTAACTAATTCTTCCCACATTCTCTTTCTTGTCACTAAAAAAGAAAGTTCACTTCAATAATGAAGATTACAGGTGCCAAAGGAGTTTTTATTATATTATGATGTAATCAAAAAGAAAGTGTGTTGCTGTAAATCAGTATTGCTGGTCTTCAACAATAAGTGGAAGGTGAATTAATGCATTTATGCCAAGAAATAAGGATTTATCCACTTTAAAAATATAGGGCATTTTCAAACTTTTTGGGGGCACTGTATGTGTATTAAAGGATTAGTTCACTTCCAGAATAAAAATGTCCTGATAATTTACTCACCCCCATGTCATCCAAGATGTTCATGTCTTTCTCTCTTCAGTCGAAAGGAAATTAAGGTTTTTGAGGAAAACATTACAGGATTTCTCTCCATATAGTGAACTTCAATGGAAGCCAACAGGTTAAAGGTCAAAATTACGGTTTCAGTGCAGCTGCAAAGGGCTCTACATGATCCCAGCCCATGAATAAGTTTCTTATCTAGTGAAATGATCTGTCATTTTCTAAAAAAATAATGTATATGTACTTTTTAACCACAAATGCTCATCTTCCACTAGTTCTGTTATGCGTGTCCGCGACTTCATGCATTGCATAATCACGTTGAAAAGGTCACACGCGGTTAGTTCTTCATCTATGTACTTCAGATAAAAAAGGTAGAGTAGGGCGAAAAACTCCATCTCGTTTTCTCCTCCGACTTCTAAATCATCTTGACACCGTTGTTTTATCTTTTTTTTTGTAAAGGACGTTTGACTTGATTATGTAATGCGTGAGGTCGAGCTAGTGCAAGACGAGCATTTGTGGTTTAAAAAGTATACAAATTTGTATTTTTCTTAGAAAATGGCAGATCGTTTTGCTAGATAAGACCCTTATTCCTCGTCTGGGATCGTGTAGACCCCTTTGAAGCTGCATTGAAACTGCAATTTGGACCTTCAACCCATTGGCTCCCATTGAAAACCTTCATTTCTTTTTGACTGAAGAGAGAAAGACATGAACATCTTGGATGACATGGGGGTGAGTACATTATCAGGAAATTTAAATTCTGGAAGTTAACTAATCCTTTACCATGAGACAAGTAATAATCTTTCATGTGTAAACCTTGTGATTACACGCATCATGTCACTACAGGCTTCCTCTTTATTTTCTCTTCTTTCTTCCTATATTTATTGTTGTATATGGTAGTGTAGACAGAGAGGAGGGGCAGCTCAAGGCTTCAGGCTGGGCTCTTTTGCTTTACAAAACAGTTTTTCCTCATTAGGCCTTCTGTTTCTACACTGTGCTGTTTACTTACAGCCCACTGCATATGTGTGAGTGTGAGAGTGTTTGTTTTACTCACTATAATCAGGTCTGGCCTGATGGCTCTTGCATAGTCCACTTATGCTCATCTGCATCTGTCTCACAACAGCTTTTGAGTTTATGCGTTTTAGGAGTTTGATCATGCAACGTAGTTAAACTGCTTCCGGAATGTTAGGAAGCAGTTGCAGGAATCATAAAATATTTAATGATTCTGGTTCCTTAGCGGTTCTTCTTACTAATTCGTAGAAAGAAATAATTAGGATTAAAAGGGTCATATGATGTTGCTAAAAATAACATTATTTTGTGTATTTGGTGTAATGAAATGTGTTTATGCGGTTTAAGGTTCAGAAAACACATTATTTTCCACATACTGTACATTATTGTTTCTCTTCTATGCCCCGCCTTTCTGAAATGTGTCGATGAAACGCGAAAATGCTCTGATTGGCCAGCTATCCAGTGCGGAATACCTCAAGCTTGTGACGGAAATGTTACGCCCTTACCATATTGTGATGCCCTGTCAGGCCGGAGCGACGAGACAAAAACATTAAAACCCATTATAAACGAGGCATTTGTTGCATCCAGTGGGGACATAATTATGGATTATAATGACTTATACTGTCTTTTTACGCAGATCTTCTTTATGCACCAAGAGCTTGTAACACTTCAAAGAGAAAGGAAAAATTGAAATCGTATCATATGACCCCTTTAAATGCAGGCTTTTCACAAATTAAGACCTCAAATGTGTCTCCTCTAGAAACTGTGCTTATATTTGCTAAGATACTGAAGTCTAGTTAAAAAGTCAGAGAGTCAGTACAAACTCAAACATTTCTCATCAGATTCCCTCAAGACCAAGTTATCTGAAATATGCTGTATATTTATTTACATATGCATATACATACATTACACATACATATACATTTTATAGCTCCATACCCTTACCGTATCAAACTTATACTACTGTTCAAAAAAATTTGGGGTCTTTTTTTTTATGTATTTGAAATAAGGATGCATTTATTATCAAGAATACAGTAAACGGTAGTACTGTGAAATACTATTACAATTTAAAATAGCTTTTTTCATTAAAGTGGTCATCGGATGCAAAATTCACTTTTACATGTTGTTTGAACATAAATGTGTGTTTCAGTGTGTGTACACATCCACCCTATAATGATCAAAAATCCTCTCAGTGTTTTTTTAAATCCCTATAAATAATCCCCTTTCTCAAATCAAGCTGTTCACAGCTTCTTGCCTGTGTGACATCACACAAACCCAGACTCCTCCCACGTTTGTTGATTGACACTAGCGTTGTACCTTAGACCCGCCCTGAGTGAGCTGTCAACAGTCCGCCATTGTTTCGACGCTGGAGCAGGAGTAGACAAGACTGTCTCCTACGAGACTGATGTGCTTTGTTGATGGATGTAATAATGAACATAGCAGTTGTCATTTACTCTTGACATCTGAGCCGCTGAAGACACAGTGAATTACTTTTCTTTTTGAAGGGAATGCAGCCCCCGATCTACCTAAATGCATTTATGTTTGCGCAAATCATTTGTGATCTAGCCTCACCTACAGAAGAAGTGAGTATAAGGTTTTTTTTATGAATCTTTGCAAATCGCCTTTCCTAATAACGTGCTAGTTAGCAAGTTCCACAGCTAAATGCGGCTAAAGTAAACAGTTTCATGAGAATGGCTCGTCACCCCACGGAAGAGAGGGGCGGGGTGAGCAGAGCACATTAGCATTTAAAGAAATGCACTAAAACGGCTTGCTGTGTGTGAACAGAAAGTGTAGAGTGTTTTACACTACCATTGAGAAATTTTAACCAAAGTATGTTATGGACTTTTCATTAAGACCCTAAAGAATCATATCAACTTGTGGAAAATGGGCATCCGATGACCCCTTTAATATATTTAAAAATGTAATTTATTAATGTGATGGCAAAGCTGTATTTTCAGCATTGCTCCAGTCTTCAGTGTCACATGATCCTTCAGAAATCATTCTAATATGCTGATTTTGTGTTTAAGAAACATTTCTTATCATCAACGTTGAAAGCAGTTACGCTGCATAATACTTTTGTATCTTTTTCATTATGAAACACAAAGTTCCAAATCTTCAGTTCAACAAAGTTCAAAACATTATAAAGTTTCAATTTAATACACCCTTGTTTAATAAAAGTAATAATCAAAAATTCTTGTTCAAAAAACTTACAGACCCCAAACTTATCAACATAGTGGATTTGAGACTAATTTTTATTTCTCCTAAGGAATTTGAAGAGAAACATGAGACATGGTGGATACTTAAATGAGACATCCATTCTGAGTTTTCAAAGAGCAACCGCTTGAGCAAAACAAATTTCCTCTGGGTGCATTTCTGTGTTAGAGAAAGAGCAAATGAACTGCACACACACCACCTCCATCTCCATGTGGATTCACCAGAGCTGCTCCCACACACTCCCACATACACACTCTGATCTCCACTGGTGCAGTGGGATAAAAATGTAATGAAATAATCTGTGGCCATATTAGTTAATTATTCCCAGCTCTCTGGGTGAAACCTGCATACATTTCATTTCCAGAACGGACACACAGAAACTCTGCTACAAAACCTACATAGACACCATTCTAACAGTCATGTAACCTTCTAGTTAAAGACATATTTCACCCAAAAATGAAAACCCTGTCATCATTTACTCACACTTTTGTCATTCTAAACATGTATGACTTGCGTTTTCTGTGGAACATGATAAGATTTTCAAAAGTTCTTCAAAATATCTTCTTTTGTGTTTCACAGAAGAAATAAAGTCACGCAAGTTTAGTAAATACTAAATATAGAATATCCATTTTTGGGTCTCTTTATCTGGTTTGTGACACTCGAAGTAGACACCAACTCTGTGTGCCACTTCTTACATTAAAGCTCAATTTATTTAAACAGCTTTTGGCTTTAGCATTTCGCTAAGCTAACAGAAGCATACTCTATAAATAAATACACAAAAATGTGTTTTACCCTGAACATTTTTATAATTCTTTTCGGTGTTTATTTAACTTCAGCCATCTTGGGTTTATTTATTTATTTTTACTGAGGGCAAACCAATTTCCCCCCAAAAAGAGTATTTTAGGATAAAATAGACTTTTTAAACAGGAGCCTTAAAATGCTACCTCAATAGGTAGCATGTTGGAACGGAGCAACACGCTGCCCTTGCTCTGTTGTTGATGTTTTCCAGTGCGTCATTTTGGACATTGCTTATTCTGGCAACATTCACACCTGCTGAGTGAGGCCTTTTAGCTTTCTGCTGTGTGGACCTTTAGTATTTCACCATATTATATCACACACACATGCACAGCTCGCAAATCTAACAAAGTATAATGGCTTTATTTGCTGAATTCTCAGATGGGTTTGCTTACATTACTTTTGCACTGCTCATACTCCTGACCACTGATGTCAGGTGTCTTTCCTCGGCCATTAGGAAGGTGTTTTGATGGGTTACGTACCGGTTTGTTGTTCTCTGATTCACTCCCTGCTTTTCTTCTCTCACAGGTGACGTGTGGAACCAAAGACAGCCCAGTGCTGGATTCCCGAAGGACAGCTAGAGATCACAGACCCTTGAGGTGAAAGAGGGTGCATGGATCGCTCAAGGACAAAGACTTCTGCCTACCTCTGGTTGGGCGTGGTCTCCGTGGCATCAGCCTTCCTCTGCACAGAGGCGGGAGTCACGCCGAGCCCGTCCCTCTCGAATAACATCACATGCGTCCAGGAGGCAGGTCAATGCCAGCCTGGCATCATCTTACCCATTTGGTACCCCGAGGACCCTTCTATGGGCGACAAGATCGCCAGGGTCATTGTGTACTTCGTGGCAATGATCTACATGTTCCTGGGGGTGTCGATTATTGCAGATCGCTTCATGGCTGCCATTGAAGTCATCACCTCCCAGGAAAAAGAAATCATCATCAAACGTCCAAATGGTGAGACGACGACAACGACAATCCGAGTGTGGAACGAGACCGTGTCCAACCTCACACTCATGTCGTTGGGCTCCTCCGCCCCTGAGATCCTTCTCTCCGTCATCGAGATTTGCGGGCACGAGTTCCACGCTGGTGAGCTTGGCCCAGCCACCATTGTAGGCAGCGCCGCCTTCAATATGTTTGTGATCATCGGCCTGTGCGTGTCGGTTATCCCCGAAGGGGAGGTCCGGAAGGTAAAACACCTGCGTGTGTTTTTCGTAACAGCCGCATGGAGCATGTTTGCGTACATCTGGCTCTATATGATCCTGGCTGTGTTCTCGCCCAACGTAGTCCAAGTATGGGAAGGGCTTCTCACCTTGGCATTCTTTCCCATCTGTGTCATTCTAGCTTGGGTGGCCGACCGTCGCCTGCTCTTCTACAAGTTTATGCACAAGAAATATCGCACGGACAAGCACCGAGGCGTCATCATCGAGACGGAGGGTGACCGTTCAAAAGGCATCGAAATGGACGGAAAGATGATGAATTCTCATTTTGTTGATGGCGGAGCTGCTAGTAATTTAATGGGCCTGATTGAGGGCAAAGAGGTGGATGAGTCTCGCAGAGATATGATCCGTATCCTGAAGGACCTGAAGCAGAAACACCCGGAGAAGGAGCTGGACCAGCTGGTGGAGATGGCCAACTACTATGCACTGTCACACCAACAGAAGAGCAGAGCATTTTATCGTATCCAGGCCACGAGGATGATGACCGGCGCTGGGAACATCCTCAAGAAGCATGTGGCTGAGCAGGCCAAACGCAGCACTAGCGTACAAGAAGTTCACGTGGAAGAACCCGAGGAGTATGTGTCCCGCATTATGTTTGAACCTGCCATTTACCAGTGTCTGGAGAACTGCGGCGCTGTTCTCCTCACAATAGTTCGTAAAGGCGGCGACATCGCTAAAACAATCTATGTGGATTATAAAACGGAAGATGGCTCTGCGAACGCCGGTGCGGACTACGAGTTCACTGAGGGCACGGTGGTGTTCAAACCTGGTGAGGTTGTGAAGGAGATCACTGTTGGCATCATCGATGATGACATCTTTGAAGAGGACGAGCATTTCTTTTTGCGGCTCAGTAACGTGCGTGTTCTGGAGACTGAGGATGAGGTGCTGTCGCCCAGTAGCTTGCCGTACCCAAAGGCCTTGATAGGATTCCCTGCTGTTGCCACTGTTACCATCCTCGACGATGACCACGCAGGCATCTTCACTTTTGAAAGCGAGTCCATGCACGTGAGTGAGAGTGTGGGCATCATGGAAGTGAAAGTTCTGCGGACGTCAGGGGCGAGAGGGACGGTCATCATTCCGTTCCGCACGGTGGAGGGACTAGCTAAGGGCGGCGGAGAGGACTTTGAGGACGCGTATGGAGAGCTAGAGTTCAAAAACGACGAGACCTGGTAAATATGCTTTATTTAATTCACATTTATTCCCTTTTTTTCTAGGCCAGAGAGTAAAGAGGGTGGGATTTAGAAAGCTTAAAGATATACAGTGGCCTCAGAAAGTATTTTTTTGGAATGTCGTTGCATTAGATGTCTTTGCAAAATGTCAAACCAAGTGTCACTTGCAAACAAATGATGCTAAAGCTAACTAGCCAATTTGCAATTAATTTTGCACAAGCTGGTGTCAAGTTAATGAATGTATGAAGTGATGATGTCCTAATACTAAATACTTCTAAATCAAAATACTTTTTAGTCTTGATTTCGAACAATGCACCTATTGTTTTATTCATGAAAAACGATTAAAGTTCCTTGTTTGTGAAAAAAATTATTTGCAAAGACATTCATACATTTCTTAAGTGTCCAAATTTTGGGGCCACTGTAAGAATGTGTACACATAGTTGAGGAGTTGTGGTTTTATGTCTGAGAATCATGGATTCGTGGATTTGGTCATGTAATGCTGTGTTATAATGGCTCTAATATAAGGGCACGTGCCAGAATTTGCTGTCTTTTGTGACTTCCAATATGAGTGATATGCAATTAAATCACTTTTACATACATAAATTTTCTCTGTTTAAGCACACACCGTAACTCCATAGAGGTTTAGGGAGGGGGGTCTGAGATTTATCTCAGGAATGTTGGTGTTTAATTAATCTAGTTCATTCATGTGAGATTTGGAAAGAGATCCAGTAATACAGTAACACACAGACCAGATAGAGACAGAGAAACGTTTGGTGTGCTGGTCCAGATATGCTGCTGGGTATTAATAGTTCAGTAAGAATATTCACAGCATATTTTACATGACACTCCAACCCACCCACTGTGTATATGTAAGAGTATGTGAGTAGCTGACACGTCTATGGACTTTTTTTTTAATTGACATTTTTGGTTAGACTGCATATTAATATTTAAGGGAGTGTGTATATCTTAGTTTCTGTGTCTGGTCATTCATTGTTTCAGCATTTTTAATCCCATTTTCCCCCCCTTTTTAAGTGGTCCTGTGGTGAGACCAATGAATTTTTAAACTCTAAATTTTGCAAGTAGCATCGGAATTAATATGAGATTATAAAACATGCATGGATCATAATGAATAAAAAAGTTTTAAATGGAGTATAGCCTAGTGTCACATTGCAGAACATGTCAACTTTCCAGAAGTATTTTGTGTCAATTGTGCTGTATGCATTAACCAGCGCTTTAGGAAGAATTCCATTCATCCGCATTAAGTGACTTAAAACTTAAAACTTAAAAAAAATTAAGTTATTTTTAAAAGTTTTTATTCATTATTATCTATGTATATTTCATTTATTCATCATTTATATTCATCTTTTTTAAATTGTAAATTCAGTTGAACTTGGCTGCCAGTTGTATGAATTTTTTTTGAAATTTTAATATCTTGTGTTCCATGTAGGGCTGCACGATAAATCGCGTGCGATATTTAATGCGCATCTTATCAGTAAAGCCGGTTCTGTAATCAGCGGTAAATCTCCATCACCTGCGGGCTGTAGAAAACATTTCAGTCAACATAAGGTTTAAGCAGATAATGAAAGAGCTTTTAGTTTAAAGGGGTCATATGATGCGATTTCAAGTTTTCCTTTCTCTTTGGAGTGTTACAAGCTGTTCG